ACTCTCTCTCCTCCTCTCCCCCCCTCTCTCTCCCTCCTCTCTCTCTCTCTAAACGTTTAAGCGGACTAAATTACCCGCGGTTCTTACTAACGGCACTAACACACAATCGATATCGACTGGCGTGTTTTCGCGGTACAACTCGCTAATGCGAGTCGCTCTCGAAACTTTCCACCGCCGTCTCTGCCGTGTACGTTTATGTGCGCGCGTATATTTTGCGGATAAGTTTTAATATCGCTTCGCGAAAAGCACCGGAAGTGGAGAGGGAGAAGGAGAAAAGAAAAGAGAAAGAGCGAGAGAAAGAGAAGGAAGAGGCTGACTCGAGACGACGGACGAGAGTTCGCGAGAGCCGGCACCGGGTACAACTTTAAATCGTCCTTGCCAGAATTTCCTGGATCCCCTCGGCGAGTACGGACGAAACGGACTTCCTGAAGCGGCAGGAAAATCCTCAGGAACCGCCCTGCGCGCATCCCATTACCCCGCCGGGCATTTCGCGATCGGATCGGATTTCCTCGGCGCCGCCGACTCGAGCGTTAAATTTGCTTTTTCTATTAGCGACCCGGCAATACACAGCGAGGGAAGAGATGAATTCTCCGGAATTACTCGACCCGAATTCCGACCATGCACGAAGCCGCGAAGGTGGTACTCGACGAGGTGGTACTTCTTTCTCCGCTCCTTTTTGCACCTTCTCCGAGGAATCGCCTCGCCCCCTCCGCTTGTAAAAGTGACGGAATGACGGCGTAGCGGTAAAATCCCTCTCTCGCCTCTCGTATTTAATTGAAGGAATTTAACGCGTCAATTGCGATACCGTCCACCGGAAACTGCTAATATTTACCGCTGGCCAACCGCCCGTTATCATTATCGTTATTTGCTCGTGTCCCGCTTATGGAGCGCTCTATTATCCCGCAGTGCGTGCCGCTTTTCCATCAATCTTCCTCACAGCAGCAAAATTTTTATCGCTAGGGAAATACAACGTGGCGGCGAGCGTAATAGAAATATCAAAAAATTGTGAAGTCAAATGGAAAAATAACATGGATATATAACCGGCGTGGAAAAAGATACGGTTACACATTTAGGTCGGGGCTGAAAAAAATTACACAGCACCCGCGCGCGATCGACTGCTACAAAAATTTCTCCCATCAAATCGACGACGATTCGCGAATCGCTCCGACTGCTTCGAACACGCTGCACACGCGCGCGGGCCCGCTAATTCACTCGTAACAACCCTCTTTACCCATTTCCAGGACGATTGCTATCTATGCAGCAGCCCGAGCATTACCGTCGCTATCTGCGCCCGTTGCATTCCGGCGCGTCGTAATACAGCTCGTAACGGTGGGCGGGTGAGAAAGAAGAAAAAAAAAGAAGAAAATTTGTCCGGTACCGACGATGAATACGGGATAAGCACGCGGACGTCACTTCTTTCTCGGCACACCTCGACACGAAGCCGTTACCTATCGCGGCCATATAGAGAGATTCTTTTTTTTCCCTTCACTGCATTTTTTTCAATTCGCGTCGTGCGCGCGCGCGCGAAACTCTGCACGAGCGAATACTTGACGGGAGTAGTGATTTCCATAAAATTATTACACCCTCGTGCGCTCATGCCAAAAAAATTTGCATACCGCGAGCATTCGAAACGCGACGAGAAAAAGAGAGAGAGAGAGCGAAATAAAAAGGTTTCGGCTTCCACTATTCCGCTCTAATCGTGTTTTCGTGTCCTCCTCCTCCGCGTGCGCTGCGCGAAACGTCGACACGGCTCTCTCTCGTGAAATATTTATCGTTTTTTCTCGCGCCGCATCGACGAGCACTTATGCCATTCTCGATACGGTTCCGGTGCAGCGTAGTGAGGCAATCTTCGATTTTTCGAGGGGTGGGGGCTCTTATGCGAATGGGAAAAAAACCGATGTTACCTTGCAGCAGAGAGAGATGGAAATGGTGAAAATATGTAACAATTTTTATATCCTTTCTATTAAAAATTTAATACATCGATATCTTCATATTATCTTACATCAATACAATAATAATATTACGATTGTTAAACATGATATTTTTGATACAATGTAGCGCTAACCTTTTTATATTATATAATACTATTCAGCGTTTAAATTAATACCCAACGCTTTTGTTTGCTTTATAAACTCGCCTTGTTAAAGGAAAATGTTATAAAAGGAATTCCCGATATATTTACATATTCGTGTTATATGATACCTCATTAAGCGCCGTTATATTACCGTGTTTAAAAAATAAATCGAGAAATATCTAAAAGTTTCCTTTTCTCAATACCGAATGGAATCTGTCCAGATTAAGTACTCTTAAGACGAGGATATCTCTAAAATGTAAAATGTCTTTAAAGAATCTTCCTACTTACAATACATTGGCCATTCTAGAGGAATATTAAAATCGCGAAATAGGATCTGAATTTCTTCAAAAAAAAAAGAATTAGATATTCGAAAGTCTAGTTCATCTTCGTATTCCGCAAACTCTCAGTCACCTTATAGTCGTGTGAAAAGCATTTATAATTCTAATCCTTTTTTTAACCCCGATTTTGATCCATTCGGAAGCATACTACGTCTGCTGCTCGACTAGTCCTTGTATTCGAGCATAACAAAGACACCCGAGATCCTGAGATGGTCGTCGACTCCGTTGTTCAGCGGCTAATTCGTCCGCAACTGGTAATCCCCGTTTTGTGTGATATAACGTACCCATGGCAGGGCTTGGTAGCCGCTCTTCTCAATTATCTTCAAATACCGTACTTGAATACCGGATGTGGTGAAGTACGGTATTTCGAACTTCACTTGTATGGGCGGTTTGCCCTCGACATCTTCGCCGACTACGGACGGCAGACCGAAGTGCGCCCTCATTAGATACTCCTTGCCGCCGGGAAAGGACTTAATGATCCAAGTGATGGCGCTCTGCTCCGGCGAATACTTGACGCTGCCGATTGTGGTCTTGAACTTGGGCGAGTCGGCGTCGTTCGGCACCGGGATCACGATCTCCACGTTGTTTGCCGTGGAACGGCGCTTGAACTGCGATCTCGCTTTTATCATGTACTCCACTCGGCTGTGAGCGTGCCGCTCAATCACAGATTCGATCCATATCAATGGTTTCACATGCGTATTCAGTCTGTACGACATCAGCTCGAACTCGCCGTCCGGTGGAATAAACGAGATCGTCCGGTCATTTTCGAAACGGGAGAGTCTGACGCACTGATGAAACTTGACGTCCTCCAGCTCCACGGATTTCGACTTGCCACGACCTGTCGACTCGAACAGAACCTTATCGTTGAGACCCAGCCTCAATTCCGGCATCCCCGATAAGTAGACTCTCATCTTTATGGCACCTACAATTTCCGAGCTCAAGACATTTCCATTGGCATTCGCCAGGAGGTTTACCGACTCTATTACATCGAGGAAAACTTCATTCTTGCGGTATTTGATACCCTCTGATCGCCACGAGACAGCGTTAGTCACAGCCATAGGAATTCTAGGTTGTATCTCCAATTTGTGACCCTCTTGAGTGATATATTCTTGCAGAATCTTACTGTCGGTGGTTTGAGGATAGCCAAAGTCCAGCAATTCATCCAGGAGTTCGTAAATAACGACAAAGTTGTCTCGTATACTCTCTTCCTCCAGTTCTTTAAAATACTCTTGCATGACATGCACCACTTTGTGCAAGAATACAAATACCAGGGATATATTGGCGTTCTTCTTCGTAGTGGACACAATGTACAGGTTGTTATATTTTATATATGCATATGTACACTCAGTAGTTTGGATGATGGGAGTAAGATTGCCTTCCTCCTCACGTTCCATTACAAGTGGCATAAACTTCTCAATAACACCAGTCTCGATGTCGCCACGGTAATTCCGCGAGATCAACACCTTGCCCTTTACGTCCAAAATATATATCGCTGACGTCGACATCTTGACTCAGGCTGCAAGCAAACAAAAAGAGAAAGGTTAATTATTCGTATTTTTAAATCCAACTATGAAATATAGACGATTACACATAAAGCTTTCCACGCTTAAGTTTGTTATAGGTATATAATTATTATTATTATCATCGTAATGACTCAAAGGATTAGTCATAGCAGACATTACTTGAGCATTTAGGTTATGGTCACCAAAATAAAACTCGAAGACGAAATTTCACGAGATTATTTGTGGAATAATTTGCGTTCTTTCGAGATAAAAGTTGTATAGAGATCAAGGAAGCGATTGTTAATATTAGGAAATTCCATTCTAATGTTTAACTGTGTGAAAATCGTATTGTGATAATCAGGAAATGGACGACCGTCGATATTTACCTTGATACACGATGTTTGAAGTAGAATCCTCCGAAACAGTCTTGCGTATTGTTTACATCTAAAGATACGATTTTTTTGTGAAACTGAGTCAACAAAACTGGTCGACGATAAAAAGTAAACCTTTCACCTTACGCCTCTGAACTGCCACTGTGGACCATCGTAGTTGCTCAAGGCTTGCAAGGTGGCCATCATACGCATGCGTCAACGGCTAACTTCCACGACGTATCGACCGCGTCGCTACGTGCTGTTCGAACATCGTAAAATAGAGATGCTCGTCGATACTTTATTATTAAAGTATATATTGTCAATTTATTCCAAATTAAATAATTTTTTACAGTGACGTGATTGATACACAATAACATCGTGTCATCATCAAATGATAATGAGATGCAGAATAATAATGAAAGTTAAATTTTAGATAAAAATTGCCATATGTATTCAATTAGTCTATCAACTATAATACTTTAATGCTTATTATACTTGAAATAATATTTTTTTTAATATTTTATGAAAATATTTGATACAAAATAATAATTTTCATTTGCTTAAAAAAATATTAATCTAGTAATACATGAGTAATGTATGTCCATACGATATCAAACTTTTTTAATTGCTAATTTATTAAAATTATTTATTTAATTTTTTCTTTAACTTTATAAACACAAAATCCATTATTAAAAAGGCATAAAAAATTTTCATTGTTGTCGCTTTTCCGTGATGTTGATCGGTTATCTCAATGCGCGCTGCACGTTAGATTCAACGCATAATAGAGAAAATATTAGGAATAGAAATAAATATTAAATATTAGAAAGAGCAATTTGAAATTATTTTACTTCAAATGGGAACGAAATGTATTAATTATTCTTAATTCTTAATTTTTAATTTATGATACGTTAATACACATACATTCTATTTTCTTGTTTTGTAATGAAATAATTCCAATTTTCTATTCTTAATATTTAATATTTATTCCTATTTTTAATATTTTCTTCATTGTGCGTTGGATCTTACTTTGCACTATTGAGCGGTTATCATTGCGAAAATTGCATACTTTGATAGTTTATATCTTGAGAAGGTTAATAGTGTATTACATTTAAAAGAGAAACTAAACGATGTAAGTTTTTTTGTTTAAACATTAATTTTTACACATGATTGTGATTACTGCAAGTATTTTTTTGTGTTTTATAGAAAATATTCAAAGTATTTTCTTTGAATTTTGATGCATTTTCGAATTCATTGTTTAAATCTATTTTGGACTTTGTCAAAGACATAACTCTATTAGTTTAACATAAATGTTTGGTCGAAATGCGGTCCGATGATTTATTTTCAAATTGTTTTGTACCAGGGATGGCGAACCTATGGCACGCGAGAAAAATTTATTGATGCGCAAAAGATTTATTGCATGAAATCAGTTCTATTTTTATTTATTTAAATCATCTAATTAAACATAATATTTGAACATAATAGTTTTAAATATTGAATAAATTTTGAAATTACGTATGCATTGCTAGTATTAAGAAAATAAATGTTATTTTTCTTTTATAAAAATTTTATTTTTATTTTTTAATGATACCACACATTATCCATTATTATACATATTTTTTTTATTTTTTAAGCTAAAGCATAAAAGAGTTCACCATCTCTGCTCTACACTATACATTTGTGTAATAACATAATTACAAATTTAATTAATTTTCACATGTGAATAACAAGATTTTTGTTAAATAATGCTCTAAATTGTGATGCGACAATAATGGTCTAGTAATCATAAAAACTATAGGTACGAATTTCTTCAGGATTTATTGAGCGACTTAACAAAAATCGGTCGAGACACGAATGAATCTCGCCGGATTTGGGTGCCGAAAAAAAAGTTACTGTAGAGTCAAGAGAATCTAAGAGAACACCTGGTAAAACTACACGGCGTTCATTGTCCGTTAATTCCGACTTATTCGAGCAGATACAAATATTTCTAAAATCGCACTTAATACAGCAACGGAGGTAAATCCGATCTAAGGCATTTTAATCTGTACTCCGTGTTTCACGAAACATTAAATCCTACTTGAAGCCGTTTCGTAGAAAGCGCGCTGTATCTCCGGCAAAGTAGCGCCTTCCGACATTAAGATTCTATACAACTGGAAGTCATTTAATCTCGGCGGAAGATTTCAGCGCCGGCCACTCCATGAAGTAGGAGCGATAGCGTACTGCAGGATATTTCGTTCCGAGTTTGAAAACATAGAAAATAAAGCCGAGACTGTTGCAAGGCAAATTCGACGAACAAGAATCGCGCGCTTTTCTCTTCCGAAGTGAGCTTTTCAGATCATGCTTATTATGTAAACTGCTTAAAATTTAAATAACATAAATCAGTGAATAAAAATGGATTGTATGTTTTATCGGATAGCTTTTAATATTATCGCTTTAAAAGATAAAGTAATTAAATTAAAATTTATTTCTCTTCAGCAAACACAAGATAAATAATTCACATCTGAGAAATTAATATGCGAAAAGTTAATTAAATGAATTAAAATTGACAATGTATAATTTTGAATCTTACAAATAAATCTCAAGTTGTAAACAACTCATACGCTTACCTCGCTAACGCAGTGCTATCGATTTTCTAGCGCTGCCGAATATGCTGATAGACGCGATGGTATCGGCTGCATTAAACCGACTGCAAATACACGTCGATAGTGATTGCCGGCTTACAGATCCTGGCGAAATAAAACGCTCTCGCGCGTTTCCCCGAAAAGCTTCGACACGCACGACATGTTGCATTGCGCAGTATAAAAGTGCATCAACAGAATGTGAGCCATTGCAGTTTTTTTTATAAGCTGTTGATGTTTACTATCTTCTTTTTTTTTATGTAACGTTGCGTTATAACACTGATATTACGCTTTACAAAAGTAAATTGTTCAAAAAACAAGTGAACAAAAAAAGTATTATGTTTGTTATTTTCGTGCAATCGACGTTCACTAAAATTGATCTATCAAAGATTTTAATTGAGAGTCGCGATTTGCAATGCTGTTTTGTACACAGCATGTTTGATATAGCGCTAAAATGCGATTTGTGCCCTGTGCGTAAAAGCTCGAACTCGTCTAATCGATTTAACGTTTATAACAGCCATCAAAAGGCGCACTTCCGGCCGCCGTCCGAAAATCACCGCTGTACTCGTTCAACTATTCACAAGCGGTCGGGTCCAACCATGTTATCTGCGGTCACCGTGACATACCCCATTAAATACTTCGATCACGCTTATTTTCGTTCAGTGGCGCCTCTCCCATGACTTTATAATTTGATTTTAGAAAAACCAAAGTGTTATATTAAGTGACATATTGGAGTAGGTTTTTGATTTGTCTTACTAACAAATATAAATTATGTCTGCATGTTTTTGAAAATTACGGCGTCTAAATGTGATTTAGAATCTCACTTTGCACTTAATTCATTATGCATAAACGACAAATATAGATGCCAATTAAAAAAATATAATACGGTAAAAGGAATAAATTTTCAAAAAAATACATGTCACATTTATGTAGGTACTTGTGATGTAGCAATTTGATATACAATTTATTTGGTTTTCACTAAATGTATTTTGTGAAATATTTTGCTTAATACGATTGAGATGTAATAGCACGGTTCACTCGAATATAAAAATAGAAAATTACTTTTTTCGCTATGGGCTGGATTAAAATCTGCCGCGAAAGGTAATTAAATTTTCAAAGCAGTTTTTCCACGGAAATAAATTTTAATCGCGGTTATTGAGACACGCGGCATACATAGTAATACAGTACGTTGCAAAAAATTGCGATAAATTTTCAGCTTAAGCAACTGTGACTGGACGAAATAGAGCGGCTTTCTCTAATGAATACATTAACGAGCGATGAGCGACCGGCGGACCGATGCGTCCGCGCATGTGATCAAGTTCTCGAGTTGTTTTAGCATAAAATATTGAATAGATACGGATCGGATGGTGGCGCCAGATGTGTTTGCTCGATAAACATTTCTCAGTATTTAGGAAAACAAGCTTGGTCCGGGCGCGAGTGGCCTCTCGTTGAATCCCGATTTCCTATTTTCAATTGAATTTCAGCTCACCGCGAAGCGCTGTACCCTGATAAATATTTCATACCGATCTCTGTCCGCACACATAGCATCATCGCGAATATTATTATATATAGGTATGTCTTCATGCTTCCTCTGTAAAACGCGTGTTTGCGGAAAATAGTGAAATGTGGGAACAGCGATAAGTGAATGTACGCATATCAATGAAGTGTACAGTCGTATTATCACATTAAAAATTGTAATTAACGAATATAATATCAATATTGCTGTTACTCGAATAATAATATTGATTATAAATATTACTTGAATATGTAACGAATTGTTCGATACTGCCGACTAAACAGCATTTCCTTTTTCGAGGAAGCTAACAGCATTTCCCGACCGTGAATTAATCATGAGCTTGAAAATCATTCGTCGTGCACGGCTTATACATCCGACTTAGGAGTGCCGACCGGGCGAATATTTACAGTGGAGCACGATCAGACCGTGCTGTGAATCGCATACTGTTTGTGGCACATTCCACGAGAGATTCCGTTGTAATTGAACGAGGCTGACTCGATTATAAAGTCAAATCATCGGCAGGTGGTGAGCTGAGAAGTTCTTCTTCCGTGAGTGAATGCGTTTCGCCTTTGACTACCCTCATCCCGCACTTCCCTCTTTTTCACTCGCTTTTCCCGCAAGCTAGCGCTACAGACAATGGTGGGCGTCTTGAGAGGATTCCTATTTTAATCCGCGAGTCATTGCAAAAAGACTGCTTTGAGAAATTTAGGAAATTCCTAAACTCGCGCAAATTGCTGACATGCAAATTACCGGCCTATTGAAGTGCGAGGAAACTCGACAGGAATAGAACTAAATTGAAAAATGGAATTGTTTTCGAATCTTTGGAATAGTTCTCCGTCTTACGTTACCGGCTTTAATTGATCATGAAAGCTGTTAAGGAATGTTGAAACATAATGCAATAACGGAGGCTCTTTCTATGTAATTTAATGCTGTTCCACTATATAAAAAGTTTAAGACCGTTTATTGCCTTCACTTATTGCGAGATCAACTTATTTTCAAAATATTATGTAAAAATTTTGAAAATAATATCTGTATTATAATAACGTAATACGAATTAAATTCAATAAGTACATAATTATTGAGAAATTATAAAATAATAATAAACGACAAATTCATAGAAGCGTAAAATCTAGCCGGACTGGCGGCTGGCTTGAAAAATGACGAGGCTCGACGCAAAAGCTGCAGCACGGAGCGGAGCATCGTCAATATCGATTTCTTTCGCTCGATTCACACGGATGAAACGTCAAACTGAAGATAAAGTGGCGTAGTACAAGGCTGGAGGCCTCGCACTCGCGCAGTTACATTACACGTCTATTCCTAGAGCCGTCCTCCTCTGGGAACGGCGAGCGGCTATATCGAGAGGGCGAAAGTTAGAGTCGCTCGGGGCATCGGTGCGACCGATAATTGAGGCTTGAATTAAATTAGCCCCAGTTCCATTCCAGAACGACTGAAAGTCTCGCGCGTTGCTCGCGCGATAACCGAATTGACCTCGCGTCGGCCGATCTAATCGTGATTATCGATCACCGCTCTTACGCCGAGATTTCATTAGGATCGATATCGCTCCGCAGTTAAATCGGTTAGGCAAGATGCATAATGGATTAAGCAAACGCACGTGAGCCCGATAACGATTGAACTTTCCCTTTGACTCGCTGCTCCCTGCGGGACAATCGCCTCTTCTCTTGCGGTCACAATAATAATTCTTACCATGCGAAACGTATCGTCATTCGAGCGCGCGATAGCGCGGCACGAGGAATACGCGGCATAAATTGCGGTATCATAATGAAGCAGGGAGCCCGTGTACGGCGCATCGATTTGCGAAAAATAAACCGGAACAAGGAACTTTATCTCGTATTTCTCCGCGACTTAGAAAGTTCTGAATATCAAAGTTGTAATTTATCGTAAGAACTTATTCCCGCGGCGACCACCGTATCTATTATCGTCGCCAATTTTTCGCTTTGAGAAAATGCACTGTCGATGTACACCGCGGAGAATGCGATATGACGCACAACTGCCAAAAGATATATCGTATATTTCTCTCGTCCGACTCGTTGCCATCCATTTACGTTAAATAAATCATATTACGTAATAACGTACCGAGTTATAATATACGGCGACACGGAAACGCATCCGCGCCGAGTAAATGGATTTACTTAAAAGTTTAATAATACAAGCAATAATTTATATGCGCTGTAGGAAGCTACAGCGGAAATCCATTAGAACACCGATGATAAAAACTAATAAAATGATTTAAAAAATAATTAATTTTTTATTTTTGCTTGAAAAAAAAAATTGCTGCAGGCATATATATACTAATAAAGTAGAGGACCAAAGGGAATGTAACAAATTTCAAAGCGAGACCTATCTCTTCGTGTTTGCAATCGAGCAAGAAGAAATTGCTTTGTACTTTGGTAATCTCATAATCTGCTTTCTAATTAATTTTTTTCCCCCGCGAGAGATCTGAATTCGCGCAACCGCCGCGAATGAAAAGAAAACTCTTGCCCGATCCGAATCGCGCCGATCGCTATCGAAAGGGATAATAGTGAAGATTAAAAATTTAAATCAACCATTTGGGGCGATGCGGTTAGCGAGCGAGAAAGTTCGCGGATCCGCCGCCGTTAACCCTAAGCGGGAGAGAGCGTGGAGGAAAGTGGCGAAAAGGGAAGGGGAGTGGGGAGTTGAGAGGGATTGAAAGCGGAAGGAGAGGGTTGATCAGCGAGATGTCCTGCGGGGAAGGTAAGTTTCTCGGTGCAATCAGTGCCTCGCTATCTCTCTACCCTTCCAGCAGCCCCTCCGCGCCGCTGCTCCGTTCTCGCTCCTCTCGACATCAACCACCTCGTCGTTGTGTCTGTAGCACCGCTGTAGCACTCACTTTCCTTCTTCTCGTTCCCGACAACGCGGGACTTAAGATAATGCGGCCGTTCGCAACCCGTGGTTTATCCGCCTGCGAAGTTTGCCGGCGCTTTTTGCACGCCCGCGCCCGAACCCGCGTCGAGATTTAATAATGATAGCATTGTTTTGAGAGCAAGCATCGAAAGCGATATAAATTTGATGAATCAAATTTTTTTATCTCGAAACGTAACAAAGTGCGTTTTGCGTTAATAACGGGCAACATAATTGCCCGTGTTTATTTCGTGTTTAATGAAATTTCTAAACGTTTATTAAATCCCAACAAATAGTTTGCCGTAACAAGAGAGATAATGAAATGAAATGAAGGTAACTCATGGGTTTCGCTCTCTCAATGTACATTTAATATATAATATATAATCGTACAAGTATTTAGCTTGGGGTTTAAGGGCAAATACGGAATTTAATTTCGGCGACGCAACGGCGGGATCCGATTTATATAATGGCCGATCGGTGCGTTGCGTCGATCGCCTAGTGGGATTAATTAATAAAGTGATTGATTCGGTTAAATGCATTAATCGTGCAGCAAGCCGCACACGCTCGCGCGCGCGCGACCGGACCGGCGAATTCCATAAATTCGGAACTGCCGATCGATCGGATCGCGCGTCCGTTCATCAGCGCGTCGCGGATTCGCCGCAAAACCGGACACGGTATCGAATGGATCAACGATTTGAAAAAAAAAGAAGTGATGAATGGCAATCTCGCGTCGGCGTTTGTTCGCATTGATAGGCCTATTGTTGTAATTATAAGCGTGAACAAAAGGCTATTCTTGCGAATGATAACTACGGATAAAAAGAGTAGACTCCATCATTCCGCATTCTCTCAATTTTGCTCATCTGGAAATAGCGTAATATCCGCAATAGTATTATGAATAATTTCAATTCGCATTTTTCTCGTCGCTGTGACGTCACTTGCGGAAACTTTCATGCGAAAATTTTTTCATTACTGAAAATAAAACGACAAATCTTGCGGAGATGTTCCGCACTATATTGAATTTTTTCGTTTGTTCACAGGACCGAGCAAGCCTGCTTCCCGACGTCCGAGCCTGCTGCATCTCATCGCCGATGATAGCGGAGGCCGGGCCGTTCCCTAACTTTCTTATTCAAGATGTTTTGAGAGCAATTTAACTTGGACTCGGGTTGAAGGGTGGCAGTTCCAGTGGTGGGGCTAAACGGAATAAAACGCGCGGAAGGAAAGCGACCGGCTTCGCGAGCCGCGATGCGGGAATTCGGTGGGGCGGCTCGCGCGACAAAGTTGCCCGGTTTATCGCGAGCGAATTAGACAGTTGTCGGGATATCGTCGGGGAGTGGTGCTCATCCTTCCGTCGTGATACATCACACTCGGCTGGCACCGACCGATTCGGCTCTTCACCGACGACCAAGGTCGCCGTACGGTTATGCTGGTGGCGTCGCTGCAGGTGGCCGCCAGCAAATGCTGTCATGCCGCTGCCATGCCAGCCGGCGGCCAGGAGCCGGCCGCTGGTCGCGACAAGGACCCAGATCAGGCCCAGTCGCTGCTTCCCGCGCCTAGGATTCGCGCTGCTGCTGCCGCCGCTGATCGTCCTGCTAATCCTGACCGGCCGTGGTCGCGCGGCTTCCGCCGGACAGCCTGCGACACGCTACGCCTCGCGCATCGTCGAGACGAAGAGCGGACAGATACGTGGAATACTTCAGGTGTGTATCGATTCTTCTCGCTCACCGCGCTGAGAGGGGATGGTGAAGGG